AATTGTGATCTAAATTGCTACATACATTAATAGCCCAACTCTGAATGGGCCCTGGATGATGTCCGTGGGCAGAATCAAAGGAGGGCTTCTTGAAGGGAAAGAAAGCAAGCTAAAAAACTGGGGAAGTCTCAGTTCTTTGGAGGTTCTTTGGTGTCCTGTTTGGCTAGAACAGAAATTTTACTCATGAGCTTATCAGAGGAGACAGTTAAAGAAAGCATCAAATTAGGGCTTGCTTTGAAGGTGAGATGACTAAGCAGGCACTCCATCTGACGGGCAGGAAGATTTAAGCTTGGTTTCCAGACAATAAAAGGGGTGGGGAGGGTAGAGGAGAAGAGGGGAAAGTAGAGAAAGGTGACCAGTTGAAAATTCAGAAGGTTCCAGTGGTTAGGCCATAATCAGAGTATGTCCATAGAGGTTATACTTACATTCAAGAGAAGCAGCACAGAGCGGCAGCTTGGGGCTCAGATTCTGAACCTGAGTCCCACTTAGTAACCTTCTGACTTAGGTTATCTATCTCTTTAAGCCTTGGTACCCTTCTCCATACAACAAGGAAAATGCCTCATCTATCTCATGGAAAAGCTATGAAGATTAGGTGTGGTAAGGTATCTAAAGCTCAACAATGACCATCACATGAGACCCAAGGGGCATCTCTTGTGTATCAGCAGCTGCCAGAAGAGGCAGCAGCAGTGACCCAGAGGGGAAAAAAACCATAAGATGTTTATGTGCAAAACCTCAGAACACAGAAAGCACCAATCTTATAGGATATCTTCAGGAATTAAAGGGGGGGAGTGGGGAGGTGGGCAGATATCAATCCTCATCTATTGGAGTAGGTGACAGTAAAAGGAGTGGCAAATAACAGTATTACATGAATCAGAGAGACAAGTCCTGGGCAAACATGGGTGGTCTTGCCTACAACATGATCCCACACATCCTTCCAACAAATAACGTCATAGTGAGGTTGAGGTACAGCACGATGCACCCCTATTAACTCCATTCTTCCTCTTCCCTCTTTTCTACTCCCTCTTTTCAGTGAAGCCAGGGTTCTTCATGAGAGAATGAGCCCACCTCATTAGCATAAAAGCAAATAGGCAGTCAACCAGTCCTTAATGGAAAAAAGACTGGACTGCTTCCAAGGTAACCAAAACTAACTTTTTTGAAACCCAGGAAAGCATAAAACTCCAGTAAGACAAGGCCAGTTTACAGACTCGCCATCAAATCAGCAGTTTCAGTAATGTGTCAGTCCCTTCCTTCTTCAGCATCCTCCTGCCAGGACCGACATTTCTTATTTCTGTCATTCGCCTCCCTTTGAAGGAAGCAGCGACACACAACTTCACGAAGAGAGGGTCTGCACAGTTAGAGAGCCAGAGGGAAGGATCGGAAGCCGATCCATATTTATAATTTATCAATTAACCTCTCCCTTCACTCCTGAACAGCTAATCCAATTTAAGCCGACTCGCCAGGCTCTCCTGGCTGAAACGCTGACAGCTTTGATTAGGGATGGAGGAACGAGCTGTGCTGTCCAAAGGTGTGAAGCACTGAATGGCATGCCAGGGCATCAAAGTGAGCTTACCCACTGTAGATCTCTGCTTTTCCCTCGTCTATCTAGCAGCCAAAGGCTTAGGTTAGCTCCTCCTCTCGCATGTTCACGCATTTTCCTTCCCACACTCTGCTGTGTGCCCCTAGTTTTTCCCTTCTTTTTCATCAACCTGTCAGAAAACTGACTCCCAGCTATCCAAGAAATCAAATAGAAGGTACACAGCAACCAATATATACATCTCAAATTCCACATGAAATAGAGTTTTAGGCAACTCACCAATCCTTCCCCCACCCATATTATTCCCAAATTCAGTTATTCCCAAATAACAGCAATGATCACACATCATTTCATACTACCCTTGTTCAGTTTGCTAGGAGGTGATCTTTGTTGCCCTACATCCAAGTGAAACACAGCTTCCCCATACTGTATAACTACTTCCAGGAGCAATAGACACAGCCTGAATCTCATCCTGGATTCAGAGCAAGTTAGACCAACTCCAAACCACCCTGGTTCACTTGGGACATGACGTGCACTGAAAGGAAATAACAGCGTTGAATTTTTACTTTTTTTATTTTTAGTTGTTGCAAAATGCACTAACTTATCATCTGGACTGTATTCGTCAGAATCAACAATTCCCTTTGGACCCATGAATCATTCAGAAGACAGACTGATAGGTACAGTGATAAAAATAAAGTGATCTCTACCTTTACTTCTACCTACAGAAATGAAGGAGGAGATCCAATTAAGTAGAGGAAGCATGGTGTCCACCATGGAGGCAGAGCGAGTGAGAGAAAGGAGAGAAAAATATCAGCAAATCGCAGACACAAAGAGGCAACACCACAAAAACAACAGCAAAGGCAGTAGCATGGGGACATACTGAGAGAACAGTCACAAAGGAAGCTTCAGTAAGCAGTCAGCTCCGTGATCAGCAAAGGCGCTTCCATCGGGTTTACGTTTAAGCATTGTCCCATGTTTCGCTTTTAACCCTGCACACGTGACAATGTCAGCATGCAAAAGCACAACACAGCCACATGTCAGTGAAATTGCATGCACTGAACCAATCTAAAACTGGTTACAGAAAGTTTCAGAGAAGCTAGGTTCTCCGGAGATTCTCATTATGAATATAAACCAGGAGGGACAACAGTGAAACATACACGTATTGTGGCACACACACAGCATACGTAAGTATTTTCACACATTTGAGGACATCAAAAACAAATTCTGAAGACTCAGTGGGAAACAGACAGAAGCTTCATTTTTTCACATCCAAGGAATACAGAGAAGGTAACCAATATTAGTGGGAACAAGTCTGTTGGGTTCTGGGGGGTCATCATCTCACAAAGCAGATAATGGTGTGGGAAATGGAAAAGAATGAGAGGAAGAGAAATGCAGTCAAAGGACCTTCTTACACGCAGATTAAGTTGCAAGTTGCAACATAAAAATCTCAGTAGCACCAATCACCCAGAAGAATTCTGCACCCTTTCTTGAACACCTCTCTAACAAGGAATTCACCACCTCCATGTCTGTCACTATTTCTTCCTCCTTTTCAAAGAGGTAGCTGACTTACTTCCCCAGAGCAGGGTTTTGGCTGAATATTCTACACATATGCAAATAAGTACTGGGTAAGGTGTATGGCACAGGTCCACCAAATCAATTTTACACCAATGTTGGGATTTGGCCATCCAGTATTGCAACCTGGGTCATACCCGTGTCTGAAACATGCTAGATAATCAAAATCAAGGAAAAATCCATCACCCTAGAGCTTCTGCTGTAATTTGCATTAAGACATCAACCACTGGATTCAATTAGTCATCCAAGATACTGCTACAGCTAGGGGAACTCCAGCAGGCCAGCTCGAAGCATGAGGCTAGAGAGTAGGAGGAGATTCTGTCATCAGGTCTCCAAGGGCCAGCTCTATTTCACGTCATTTATCACCAAAGTTGAGTCATCAAGCTCCAGCAATTCACAGAACTTGATTCCTCTCATTTATGTTTAATTCTCTGAACCTGCCAAGATGCTAGGTCAACATCAAGTACAGCCTCTAATCCTGCACTCACAGTTCCTGCCTCCCTCACTCGGCTACTACGAGAAAAGACAGGATTCAGTCCAGCCTCTTCCAAGGCCTCCCCCGGATCATGTCCCTGACCTCCTCCCTCTAGCTCGGCTCCTTGACATCCATCCTCCACCAAACCATCGGTTCATAGAAATTTCTTTAATCCTTATCATGGGTCTTGGCTCAGGCCTGTAGGGCACTTATAATGGAAAACTGGGCTTCCTCTTTATATTGCCTTATCACTCCAGATGCTGCAACCATCCACATCCACAAACCATATACAAACTTCTTTGAGCTCCAGGTGCTTTCTTAATCTGATCATACTCCCTTTTATGGCAAAATTGTCTGGTGGATCCCAAGGAAGGGGAAGGACAGAGGACTTTCCGTGCTGTTCCACTTGCCTCAATACAGAAAAATAGAAATCGATGGAAGGTTTCTTCCTTCTCCTTGTCTTTGCTCCTCTAAAAGAGGCACCAATTCCCATGTGGAAAAGAAAAATTAAAATACAGTTTTGTGGTGACAGTGCAAGGCAGGCAGTCTAATGCTGCAATCACCGCAAAGCTTAGAGGAAACACAATAGTAGCAATTGAATAGTGAAGGAAAAGACAATTTTAAGTAGGCTCAGTTCTCAAATTCTGATTTAGGCTCTTAATGTTGAAGATTTTTATTTAGGAGGAAAAGGCTTCATTCACAGCCCGCCCCGTGCTCTACTGGGCTGCATTTCCTGCTCAGTTCATTCCCTGCATATTTGAATAATTTAGGTTTCAGATGCTGAATTTACAGATCTTTATATGCAGTTTTCTTCAGGGTGTATAATGAGTTAGAATCCTGCTATGAGGACATTAGCATGTTCTATGGGTGGTATTTTGCTACAAACAGTCAAAGCCCCTCTCCCCAAAGGCTTCCTTTGACCAGGGAAGGCAGAAATGTTATTACAATGGGCAGTGGAATGGAAGGGAAGACAGAAGGCCAACCTTTACTCCTAGGAAAACTCAGGAAGAAAGGCAGACCTTTGCCCTGAAGCTGGGACCCATTCAGGGGCCTGGGACACCAGGGAGAGGGGAGCAGGAGGAAGTTAATTGCTTTGGTGCTTAGAAATTAGCTTCACTCACCCCCATTATGTACAAATCATGCCTAGTTTCATGCTTCTCTCTTCGGGGCAGCCCAGCAGGGCCAGCAGCGAGATACAAACGGTGGTGGAACATGGAAAAGCCAGGGGGATGTTGAGATAAATGCCCCCTCCCGCCCCACCTAGCCCCAAGCAGGGCAGCCCTGCTATGAGCCTGACCCACTGCAGAAGGGACAGGCAACCAATACCCTGCCAGCCACCAAAAGGCTCTGAGTGACCAGCCAGAGGCACAAAGGCAAGCAGTTCAGGCAGCTGCAGCGCCACAAGCACGAAGCACCTACCTTGTTCACTCATCATGAGGTGGGAGAGGCCTTGAGGAATGAAGATAAGAGAGAAAGGGAAGGGGGGGAGGGTTTGAGGGGAAGAAGAGAGAAAGAGAAGACAAGTTAAAATCCCACACGCAATGCAATCTTCTCTAAATGTTTGATACCCAAGTAGGAGTAGTAGTGGCTGGGCACACACGTGGCCCACACTGGTCCTCTTGCCCGCCGGCTGCCTGCCAGGAAGTTGCTCTCTAGCAAACAGTACAGTCTTCTGTTTGTTGCCCTGCTCTAGTCCTTTTAATGAGAATTTTCCCTTTACCACTATTTGCTATTAAGTCAGATTTGTAATAGATCTGTAAAAGATTAGGCCTCTTGGGAAGGAAACTCAAGATGCCAGGTTATATAGGTTTCTTTCCTTTAAATTACTTACAAAAGTACAAGTAATACATGGTCACTGTAGAAACTTGAGAAAATCCACAAAAACAGCAAAAGGTTGTCATCTCAGCATCTGACTTCGTCATTCAGCTACAGCATTTTTTTTTCATAAAAATAAAATCATATTGAACATACCAAATAAATTCCCATTCACAACAGATCCTCAAATATTTTATTACTATTTCTCCTATCTGGCTTTAGCTCAGAGATAACCACATCTCTTCATTCATTTCTCTACAACTGCATCTTTCTTGCAAGTACTCCATGCTTGTTCAGGCAGGCCTACCTCAGAGCACTGAATGGGTTTAAAAGAGTCCACAAAATCCCAAGAAACAGCTGACCAAATCTCTGGCTATGTTGTTAAAGGAGAGAAGAACTATTATAGCTCCTTTCTTCAAGGCATGTAGAAGCCCTGTCACAGGCTGATTTCTAACCCGTAACCAACTGTACTGCTTATTGGATCTTGCTCATTTCTGTCATTATTGGAGATATTCTACAAAACCCAGATCACTTCCAGAGAACCTGTACTTGGAGCAAAATTTAGGGATATTGGGGGGTTAAAAAGGGAAAACACTCTGGAAGTATGGAAATCTCTAAATCTTTTGAGAGATTACTACAGATTTAGAAAAGTAATCAGAGGTAAAATATAGGTCAAGCAACTGCATTTTCAAAGATCAGTGATATATTAAATACATACATACTTGTGCCATAAATGTCACAGAGTCTATTTTTTAAACAAATTTCATTAAACTATAATTGTATTTTAAAGGCACAGCCTTGGCATTCATTACTCTAAGACTAGGATTAATACTTTAGGAAGAATGGAAGCATGCCAGAGCAAGTGATTCTCATGATTTGTTTTGCCTGAAAAATTAACTTTTGGTCATTTTGATGGGTGATAGAGGGAACAGAAGAGAAAAATTTAGATAAGAAAAACATCCACAGAAATGTCCATTCCCTATATGTATTTTTTAAAGATTCACTTATTTCTAAGAAAGTCACAATTAGTTATAGAAAGAGGAAGAGAAACAGATTGAGAGAGGGAGAGGGGAGAAAAATCTTCCATCTGCTAGTCTGTTCCTCAAATGACCAAAACAACTGGGATTAGGTCAGGCCAAAGATAGGAGCCAGGAAATCCATTCAGGTCTCCCATCTGGATGGGAGGCCCAAGCAACGGTGCCATCTTTTCCCAAACACAGTAGCAGGGAGCCGGATGAGAAGTGGAGCTGCCACAACTTGAGCTGGTACCCATATGTAGGATGTGTAGGAACAGGAACAGGAACAAAAAAACAAATTTAGCAGACAACTGTTTGAAAGAGCCTATTCAAGAATGAAAGCAAGGGCAAAGGCAATTGTTCCATCAGTTAAGATGTCACACTTGTGATACCCACACCCCTCATCACAGAGTCAGTGTTAGAGTCCTGGCTCTGTTTCCTAGTCTAGCTTCCTGCCACTGCATCCCCTAAGCAGCAGCACGTGATACCTCAAATCCTTGGGTCCCTGCCACCCACATAGAATACCTCAAGTTTCCAGCTCCTGGCTTCTGACTTGCCCAGTGCCAGCTGAGACACGTGTTTACAGATTGGTTCAATAGATGGGAAAATCTACCAATTTTTTTTTCTGTTTCTCTGCTTTTCAAATAAATAAGAAAATAACATAAACCAATTTAGTGGACATGATGGAGAGACCTAAGAGAAAAATACAGATTAAGAGAGAAAAGCCAACATTTTACACCAAAGATTAAAGCTGGTTGGCAGTTACAGGAAGCTGAGGAGAAAAAAAGATACAAGAGTTGTTGGTTGAAGTTGCTACAGGGAAATTGGAACAAAGACAACAACTTCATTTCTTGTCTCAAGAATTTCCATGTGGACAATTCAGTGAGTAAAGCGAGATTTATTAGGTCAGAAGGGAGGCTCTGAGGGAAGAAAACTAAGTGCTGGTCCAAGTGGTGTCTTTAAAACAAATTCCAATAAACAGAATAACAGTTAATAATCCACAAGGAGATTGAGACAAGACCCATCAGAAGACCAGGATTGTAACCCTATCTGGCTTGCTCAAGATGGAACAAACTATCAAAAAGAATTTATCATGCTCATCATAAAGCTAGAAACAGAGAAGGATGGGATGGCACTTTGGTCTTAAAGCACCTTTGGGTAGAAGCAGGCATCTTGTCTAAAGAAACTCTCCCTTTTCTCCTTCTAGTAGGAGTGTGACCCTAACTACCTATTAGCCCATCTGACTGTCACAACTCCCAAGATTTCTAATTTAATAAAGGAAAAGCAAGCATGATACATTCAAGCCCTCAATAAACTTCTACAATTAGGTCTCATTCTACACACTTCCCAAAGTATAGTTTGCCAGTATCAACACCTGGAAGTACTTATTAAAAATGAAGATCCTCAGGGCTGGTGAGGTGGCTCAACTGCTTAATCCTCCACCTCCAAATGCCAGCATCCCATATGGGCGCCAGTTCATGTCTCAGCTCCCTGCTTTATGGTGTGGGATAGCTCAAGAAGGAGACCCATAAGAAGTTCCTGGCTCCTGGCTTCAGCTCAGCTCAGCTCAGCTACAGTCATTACAACTATGGGGGGAGTGAACCAGCAGATGAAAGATGGTTTTCTCTCTCCTTCTGTCTGTAAATCTGCCTTTCCAATACAAAACAGGTTAAGGCTATAGACAATGGGCCAAGTGCTTGGATTCTACCACTCAGAGTTCCTGGTTCCTGGCCTCAGGCTAGCCCAGCAGTTGCTGCCATTTGGGGGATGAACCAGCAGATGAAAGATCTCTGTCCCTTTCCTCTATATCTGCCACTCTTTTAAAATAGTAAGTAAATAAGTAAATACATCTTATTTTCAAAAATTAAGTCCTAGTCCTACCCCAAATTTAACTTCGGGGGAGGAGTTAGGGCAAGATCTGAATTTTCAGTCAGTTAGCCAAGTGATTTCCACGCTCACTGGAACTTGAGAGCTCCCCCTCCAGAGTGGCATATAAATCAAATCTTGGTAAATTAAATTGTATGATGAATGCACTAAGAGGAATTGGATATTTAATGGAACCCTGCAGTGGGTCCTTTTGTGAGGGAAAGAATCCTTTTAAAATGCAAATAACCCTCCACCTGTGTTTTTAAAATTCAAATACATACTTATCAGGTTTTATTAAGCTACATATGTAGCAGCAGCATTGCCACCCATGTAAAAATCTCCAACTTACAAAGACCTTACGTAGAAACGCTGGGGCAGAAATGCAGAGTTGACATTCTTACGCCACAACTTTGGCTTTGCAGGATAAAAGCGAAATGGAAATGCAGAAGTGTAACAAGGAAGGATGGAAGTGGAACCAGGTAACCACAACGTGGTCTGCCTTCCATTTTCTTTCTTGGGAAGGGAATGCCATTTCACTGCCAAGAGTTTTCTCCATCAGGATCATGGGCTGTATAAACCTATCTTCACTGACTGTAGGGTTAAGAACCCAAAGCAGGGATGTTCAAGAATGTTCAGGTTTTCTCTGAAATTCTGTTCCTCCCACTTCTGTCTCCATTGCTCTAACCCCAGTAATTCAATAAGACTCTACAATGCAAACAATCAATTACCTGCTATGTACTAAGAATGTATAAGGTAGAAGAGACATGACTATTTACTGGGCAGCATCCTGACCCTGAGACTTTAGAGCTTGGCTGGGAAGAGTGTGTGTGTGCGTGTGTGTGTTGACAATATACTAGCACCTGACAGTAAAGCAGAAAAGCAAACATTAAAGAACTTAAAGCAAGACTGGATTCCATCTCTGCTACTCGCAAGCTTATGACCTTAAAAATCTCTGCCTTGGTACCGCTATCTTAAACTATGAATAATAATGCTTACTTCACAGGCTGGTTTCAGCATTAAATGAATGTATGTTAAGCTGTGTGTGTACAGAGAAAAGAGTCGAGTAAGGGCAGCAGTGATTGCTATTTTCAGCATGCTATGAAAATACACGGACATGTGAAGATATAACAGTTTTAGTGCTGAACACACATTAGGTCCTCAGCATGTATAAGTGATTGCTACATATCAGATGCTGAATTCAGACCTATCTAAATAAATAAGCTGGCAGAAACCACAGGAGAGCGGGAGGGGCCGGTTCTAGATGCTCAGAAACAGTTTGTGAAGAACAAGGTGAAATAAGCTTGGAGAAATGGCTTAGAATTCAGACAGAGGTTTCCTGGTGAATACCAGCAGTTCTCAAAACCAAGGAGCACATTTGTAAGGACTTCACTGTTCAACCTTCCAGAAACAACCAGAACACTGCCAGGAATATCTTTAGGTTTGTAACAGGATGCAAATCAAAGGATGAAAATACAGCAAAAGTTCATTACAGGAAGAAGGGAGACATCACCCTAAGAATCAGAATATGGAGGCTGTGGTGTTTCAAAGCTAAGGAAAACGGACTTGACCTTTCAGCTAATGGGAGACACTGAGACTCGTGGGCAAGCAGAATGACCTGGAAAAAATGAGAAGAAATGACGTTCAAAAAGACTGCTTTGGCAATAGCGTGGACTGGATGGATTTGAGGAAAAGAGAGGCAGAATGATCAGTCCAGGTAAAGGACATCAACAAGATCATGGCAACAGGAAGAAG